TAACTTAATCTAAGTTCCTTAAATCCCTATATTCCCCCAGTTTCCATTTCATTTTCCATTGTCTTTTCCATTTGATTCTCCATTATAGGGGTATAGTAACTTAATTTAAGTTCCTTAACAGCAACCGAGGCTAGCGCCTCGGAGCGCAGCCCACAGGTTGCACGTGCGGTCACCCCCTATGAGTTGCTGGGTTTGCCTTTGGGATATTTAAAGAGTTTCCCCTACTATGGGCTATTAGACCTTAAGGGTACCTTAACCTACCCTTAATAGGGTCCTAATAGGGAAGTTTAGGGTCTAATAGCCCATAGTGGCCGGTTAGTGCCATAAGGACCCTAGGTACTGATATCTTCAAAGGGCTCTGAAGTCCAAGGTTGAAGAGGGACGTCTATGCTGACCTGGAGTTCAGCAACGACATCGGCTACCTGCCCGATGGCACTCCCATGAACCGCGCTGGCAACGCGATCAACCACCCTGAGACCATTGGCCCCGACATGCATACCCCTGGCTCCCCACTGCCCCGCGCCAAGTTCGTCAACTCGGTGGGCTACTGGGTTGCTGTTAAGGAATTTAAATAATTAAGTTACCACAATGGGTATATATAGTAAATAATGGGGTTTCCCCAATATAGTAACTGAATTAAAGTTCCTTAACAGCAACCCAGGCTACCTGCCCGATGGCACTCCTCTCAATGCGGCCGGTAACGCCATCAACCATCCGGAGACCATGCAGCCGGACCCTCACACGCCAGGCTCCCCGCTGCCGCCCTCCCCCTACAAGGCTGACATTGGCTACCTGGTGGATGGCACTCCCCTTGAGACGGCTGGCAACAACTCCGTGAGGGGTGGTGCCATGCCCGCTCCAGCAGCTTCCATGCCTGCCCCAGCCCAGGCCCCAGTGGTTGCCGCAGCGTTCGTCGGCTCGTCTGCGGCATCCCCATCGAAGGTGAGGCATGCCGGAAACTTCGCCTACAGCTTCCAGAGGGACTCCTTCGCCAGCCTGGAGTTCAGCAACGACATCGGCTACCTGCCGGACGGCACCCCCATGAACCGGGCCGGAAACAACATCAACCACCCTGAGAACATCGGGCCGGACAGCCATGCTCCAGGATCCCCGCTGCCTGCCGCCATCTTCGTGAACGACGTTGGCTACCTTCCGGACGGCACCCCATTGAACAAGGCCGGCAACGCCATCAACCACCCGGAGAACATCCAGCCTGACCAGCACACTCCTGGCTCTCCTCTGCCCACTTCCGTCTACGCGCAGGATGTGGGCTACTTGGTGGATGGCACCCCCATGGACAAGGCCGGCAACCTTTCCGTTCAGTGAGCATTCCAGCATAGTGCTTTTCCTGATTTTTCCCAAGCGACGAATTTGCCCCAGATGGCCACATGAAAGTCAGATGGCCAGCAAACCTTGGTGCAGCTAGTTACTGCACCATTGCAATTCTTGCCTTTGACGCAAGTGGTTCCTTTCTGGCAAGAGGGCCGGATTTAACAATTTTGCTCGACAATCTTGATACGCAGCTCTGAAGCCGCATGAAAAAGGTCCTTCTACTTCAAGGGCTCGGGGGACTTCTCAAAGTAGGCTCTGAAAGGGTTTATCAGAAGGGCAACCCCAATCATGGGTCTTGTATTTGCTAAGTTCCCTGAGCCTTCAAGTGGCTTAGGGTTTAGGGTTCAAGGGATTAGTGTTTGGGGTTTAGGCAATCACGTGCCCATGATTTTTGGGCACCAAACTGTCCCAGATGCTCTGACGTAGCGCTGATGCAAATCATCCTACATCACTTTAGGCTACTTCACCCCCATCATTTCCCACTGAGCCCTACGCCCTAAACCCTAAACCCTAAACCCTACCCCACACCCCATAATTCGCAGGGCTTATTCTAATTAGGATCCTCCAGGGTGTTTCCCCGTTGGGCAGCATCCTGGAGAATTCCCTAGACCCTAAACCCTAAACTCAACGCCCTAAACATATGTGTATATATATATGTGCATATATATATATTTATATTTATATGTAGAACTATATAATATATATACACACAGAGACCTTCACAGACCGTCAACCCTTGAGGATGAAGGGAGAGAATGTGGGACCCGAAAAAGTCGTACCCCAAAGTTGATGCCACTATTTAGGGTTTAGGGCTTAGGGTGTAGGCGGTTGAGCATAGAACCCATTATAGGGTTTACGGTTTGGGCTAAGCCATAGCCTAAGCTCCTGAAAGGGGGTAACCCTAAACCCTAAACCCGAACCCCCCTAAAGGGGGCAATATAGGGATGATTACAGGGCTTATTGAGGCGGATGCTAGGAGTTTAGATTATGGCTCATATGTAGCCCTTTGATTGTGGCAGCTAACTTAGTTTGTTATAAGGGCTTCCAAAGCCTCCTATATCCTTGAGGATTGTCCCCCCTTCTGCCCTGGGTCTGAAGTAGGGTTTTACGGTTTAGGGTTTAAAGGGTTGTAGAGTTTAGGGTCCCAGGGCTTAGTCCTTTAGGGCTTAGGGTATGACCGCCAGCATTGTTTCTTCAGAATCCTCATGGAAGTGAGTGTAATGTTCTCCGAAACCCTATTCCAACCCTAAATCCCAAACCCCAAGCCCAATACCCTCAAAAACTCTAAGCCCTAAACCGTAAACCCTAAACCCTCAGCCCCAAACCGCAGACCCCAAACCAAAACCCTATGAGATTTGAAGCTACCAGCTCAGGCCTTTACTTCTTGCAGCGGCGTCGTGTCATCTGCAGGCCAAGTTATGTAATGAGAGGGTTTGCAGTAGGGTTTAGGGTTTAGGTTTTGTTTTTAGGGCTTGGGGTTTAGAGTTTAGGCTTCAGGGCTTGGGAAAGTCAAGGGGGACATAGGAATAGCTCTAGGGAGTTTGGGAATTCTATCGCCAAAGTCTGTGATAATGGGGTTTGGGGAGCTTACGTAAGGATAGTACGAGATTATATCGGCTTAGTTATGGATGATATTCAGATTCTGGAACCCCAATCCAATTTGTGGAGTAGGAACCCTAGCAAGAGTCATGTGGTCGTTAAGGTGGGGGGCCGGGGCAACCCTAAACCACGGATCAGGCGCGACGGCGGCGCGCAAGCTCCAGGAGTTTCAGGTTGTTTCTTAAGATGTAGAGCTTAGAGCTCATGAACTTGTAGCGTCGAGCCCCATGTTGTAAGTGGACCTCATGCTTTCAAAGCTTCATGATGAGCTTAGTTCATTTGGTTTGAATTACTTTCACAACAGTGTATGGCAGGAAGTGTCTGGGCTTCCGTTAATATACCCCAAGCCCAAATACCCTGAAAGCTGCTATCCAGCCCCTTTTTGTTAGCTCTAGGTATTTTCCGTAGTCTTTTGATGGCGATCGCAAGGCATACTGTCTAAGGTCCTCAGCCCCAATTCCCAAACCCTAAACTCCAAACCCTAAACACCAGTTGGGGGCTCATGCGGGGACTTATGTATACAGGTTGCCCCAAGTTCAGTAGGGTTACAAGCCTAGTTATAGGTAGTTACTATGTCCCGCGAGCCTCCACATAATTCCGAAACCGTACAGCCCAAACCCCTTTTCCCGAACCCCAAACCCTAAACTTTAATTCCTAAGCCGTAGACCCCAAACCCTAACCCCTAATTCCTAAACCCAAACCCTAATTCCTAAACCCTAAATCTTCCTAAGCCCTACCCCCTAACTCCTAAACCCTAACTCCTAGACCCTAAACCCCAAAGCCTAACTCCTAAATCCTAGACCGAACTCTAAATCCTAACCCTACACCACTATAGGCCTTTGTAGTAGGCCGTCGTGGACTGAGTCGCAGAAAACCTGGCAGAGGTGGACCAACATTCCAGAGCTTTGGGGTGTGGGGTTTCGGATTTAAGGGTTAAGGGTTTAGGGTTTCAGTTGTAGGGTTTAGGGCTTACAGTTGAGAGTTTAGGATTTAGATTTTAGGGTGTGGGGTTTGGGGCTTAGTGTTAAAGGTCAAGGCTCTGGGTTATAAGGTGTAGGGTTTAGGGATTTAGGGGGTGGGCTTTGGGTGTAGGCATTTTAGGTTTTAGGGCTTCAGGGTCTTAAAATGTGGTGTTTATGTGTTTGCGGCGTCAGCGTTCTGAGCCTAATCTGGGGCTGTGTGAACGAGGGGATTTTTGGTAATTAGTCACGACCGGCATAAAGGAGCAACCGGAGAATATTAATTGGAATGTCAGTGTAAAAGTAACTGGAGCGGAGCTTAGATAGCAACAGAAGCACCCCGTAACTATCATACAACTACAATGGGGTCCAAATGTTGGCTGGTTGGGCGTGAACCCTAAACCCTAAACCTTAAATTGTAGTTTCCATTTTCTTTTCCATTATCCCATATAACCCCTATTTTCTATCTACACAAGGGGGACTATAGCTTTTTGCGTTAAATCTTTGGGGGGGCACAGGACCTGACCAAAGCTGGTGGCTTCAACTCGTGCACGTAGTGAATGTATCCGTGCTGTTGATTAGGTGGGACTTCCCCACAACATGATCACTCATAGCTTGTGCGGCTCCTCTATTTCATAGTTGGGGAGGTAAAAGCTCAGTTTGAAAGGAGGGGTTAAGGAGCAACGGAGACTTCTGAGCGTAGTCATTTAAATGGCTGGAATGAAGGTTCAATCGGGAGCAAGACCTGAGGGCGCATGCACCCATCTACAGGTCGATCTTGCGTTTTGCATTTCTCGAACACGCTTGCTTAGGTGAAAGAAAGTTTACGCCTTGCGCAGAAAAAAATGATTGCCGGAACATATAAGCCCTGAACCGTATGTCAGGTGGTTTTGGCGATGGAGAAACCGCCTTTTCTGGATCATCTGGACCATTCACATGTGCCTCGGAGAGAACAGGTGGAGATATCCAATATTCTCATAGGACTACCATGACCCCCCAACAAAAACATCCAACCAGGCTAATGAGGCCAATTACGCCCTAATCAAATAAACCCTAATCAGCCTCAGCTAGGATTAAGAATTAGGTCCCAATTGACCCCTAATCAGGTCCTTCATTTGTGAGCAGGGCAGAGTAGCCTCATGATATTCTATGTTCAGGGGCCCCGCAGATTCTTTCATGGCCCTGCTAACCTAGTCTTCCCAAGCATCAACAACTATGGCCTTGAACCCCAAGCTAATCAGTATAAAGGCTACTGCTTGGGGCTTGGGGTATTTGGGAGGTCTGGACAGGGCAAGTTTTGTATTGCCTGGATTTGAGGAAGCTCGAATTGCTGGCAAGGTTCTACATGGGGGTTTGCCAGAATTAGGGTTTTCCGTTTTGGGGGTCCCCATATAGTAAGGATTATAGCATATTGTGCTCCATATCGGGGTCCCCTATATAGGGCAACTATCATTGGGGCTTTTTCTGAACTGGGACTCTGCGGGATTTGGTTCGTCGCTGCAACCGCGCAAAGTTCAACTTACTGGTGGCTAATAGGGAATGAGGGAATGTGAGTCCTATACAACATATTCCTTACATAGTATAGTATTCAACACCCCCAAAGAAGGTCGCAACAGCCAGATGACAGCCTTTCTTTGCTTGCTCATAAACAAAGCAAGCATGGTCTGTTTTTCGTGCAGGCCACACCCACAAAAAGTAGGACCAACGATTTGGCATTCTTGGTGCCAAACTGTGAGTACGTGAGCCTTGTGCAGGAAAACTATATTCCGGCCGGAGGCGTGAACCTGGTGGCGGAAGCCATTGATGCGATTCACCATTGGCGAGACTTTGTGTCACCAGTGCAGCTTCATTCCAAGGGTGTGTCAGGCACCCAGACCACAGCTGAGGCTGCGCACGGCATTCGGGTGGTGACAAGAGATATGTTGGCAGAACAAGCTCCTTTAGAAGCGGGAGTGGCAAGCACTTGCTTCAGTACCCAGAGGGTCCACATATACAACCATTAGGGAATTGGGACCCATAATTCCTTCTATACTAAGGTATTTTGGGGCCTAGTTCCCTAAAAGTTGTATATATGGACCCTCTGGGGTATGGTAGGTTCTCCCAGTACCTTGTTTTCCTTGTCTCCATTTTGATGTCACGGGTGTCTTCAGCCTTCAATCTAATGTAGACCTGTCCCCGTGACCCATTCCTTCATGCCTTACTAGCCACCAGAACGCTATGTAAACCCTGAACCGTGAACTGCATAGAGTTGAGTTTTCCAGCTCACCGAGAATTATGGGGATTGCCCTACTATGCTCCCTATACTACCTCCTAATTGATCTTAATCTTGTAAGCATCCTTAGAGAGACATAGAGAGCCGTAGTTAAGGGGAACCTAGGGGGTCCAGTATAGGGGGCGTAGCAGGGGAACCCATTGAGGAATGATTTCCCGGGCACC